GACAAGATTTTGTTGGCAACATTCTAACACTTTTATGGAGTAGTGGGATTTGAATCACTCCAAATTTATGCTATGTAACAATTAAAAAGAAAAGCATATATCAAATTATTTTTGTTTTCTATACATATTAAATATCTTATACACACTTCTGTCTCCTGTGGTGAAATATATATATATATATATATTATAAAACATTATATGAATATATAAAATTTTGTTAGCAAAGGGATTTCACCATTTTATATCATTAACTTTACTAATTTGCTTCTTTGTATGAATAACTCATTGTAATATATATTGAACTGCATGACATATTTGATTTAAAAGAACTGATCCAACGTGCAAATTTTCAGGATAACAATTGATACATTACTCTTCTTACTGAACTATTTAGTTCATGCCACATTGACTGATAAAATCCTACAACAAAAAAATTCTCAAACTGCCATATTAGTAAAACATGCACTAAAATTTTCAAAAAATTCAACCTTAGTTGTGACTGCACACTCTTGTATCTGCTATCAATAACACATTTAAAAAAATAAAAATAAAAACATATTTCGATTCACATTATATTTTATCATCTCAGATGATACCTGAATTTTACCAAAAACAAAATAATTTCCATGCCTGAAGATGACTGAATGTACAGTTGAAAGTACTTGCATATTTAAGGAAGACCTAATACAGTTTATAATTTTAAAAAACAAGGATCATAACATTCATTGAGTGATTAGTAGGTTAAATGCATCTTTAAAATATTGTTAGTGAAGAGATTTCACCATTTTTATATTATTAACTTTACTAATTTACTTTTTGTATGAATGATTCATTGTAGTATAAAATAAACTGCACCACATATTTGAGATTATATATGCTAAATTAAAACAACAAATAAGAAACGTATATCAATCTAACATGTTTCACTTTTATTAAGGTTTTGTCAGAGATTGAGAGCTGGTGAGCTTGCAATTATTAATTTGGAGTTAGTGCCATTTCTTGGTTTTAAGGTTCAAAAACAGAAAGTATTGGATAAAATGCCAGAAATTAACAAGGAGCTAACTTCTGATAGTTCAACAGTTACAGTGATGAGAATCAAGAGAACTTTAGATTACCACAAAATCACTGTTTCTAAAAACAACTATGGAATTAAGCAATTGGCATTTACATACTCTCTTGATGTTGTGGTCATAATTGGAATTCTTTCTTTGAAGACATTTCAGTCTATAATGACTGGGCTGATTCTGTTACCTGTCAGAGGAAACAAAGAAAGGCTTTCAAGTTTCAGGATAAAAGAGAAGTTTGTTTTGAGTCTTCCTGTTTTTAATTACCAAGCTTTGCAGCAATTCTTTGACTGAATATCTCAGAATATTTTCAAGTTGTATCTACAACTCACAAAATGTGCAGATGATGTTTTAACTGAGGAGCATCAGTTGCGGAAGGGAAGGGAAGCTTTTAGAATAGTTAAAAAAAAAAATCAATAACAAGTTATTTTCCTCTTTCTGGAAGAAAATTAATAGGAACATATGCTAATAAAAATCATATGCATATTAAACAAAAAAATATATATATATATATATATATATATATATATATATATATATATATATATATACGTGTGTATATGGGGGTGTTGAATAGCATTTATCAGCAAGAACAATGCAATTCATAGGCTGAGTCCAAATTCAAGCCAAGGTCTTTGCATTTGCTTCACACTGATGCTCTTGAGAAGGGGAAAATCCTTTTCTTCTACACCCACCAGTCATGGGTTAAATAGCAGGAAAAATTAGGTTCTTAGGCAAAAAAAAAGCGGGAGGGGGAATTAGACCACCTACCTGATGAGCTTATTTGAATGAAGGTCAGAATGTTAGGATAGAATCAATGTTACTAAGGGATACAAAGGACAAAAAGTTGTGAACAGCCATGATTGGTCACATCCTGAAGGAAAAGTGCACATGAAAAAAGTCTCGAGAGGACAACCAGTCAAGGAGAAGGATAACACTGAATTCAAATAAACTGCCAATATGTCAGGAGAAAAAATGGTTCATATATATTTTTTATTAATATCATAGCCAAAGTATAGTCAAATTGGTAATGGCACACTTTAGCTATTGGAGTGGTTTCCATGATGGAAAAAGGATAGAGGTTCATTTCCTGTCAGGAGGCACAATTTTTCTATAGAATCTCTAGATCTAGATTGTTGTTTCACTTTTTAAGGACAGAGATAGCAGGTTAAACATGTGTGCCCAATAAAAATAATATTTATAGTATTAAGAAATACAAACATACATACATATATATATATATATATATATATATATATATATATATTGAGCAGCAACCTTTCTTTTAAACATCTTTCATTAAATATGATAGAAAAGGAAGATTTAATTTTTATTCAGTTTTTCTAGTGTCCTTTTGTTTATATATATATATATATATATATATATATATATATATATACATTAGGTAAATGAAGGACAAAGTGGAAAGATTCTGTTTAACATGTTTTATCATCTAGAAAGATTTGAGCTGATTAAAGTAATGTTTTCATTCATGGAATTATATATACATATGAAGGGAAGGAAGAATATAAAAATGCAAGCATCAGTTATAATTATGCACTGACAGGAAACAAAGATGATGTCGGAAGACAGAAATTTAATATTTTTTTTTAAATATATGTTTTGGGTATACATCAAGTCGATTTCATTATATTTCTTTTTGTCCACGGTTCCATCACTTTTGTTATTAAGTAACACACATTGTGATAATAAAAGATCTGCCAAGAAAGGCAAAATACTATAAGAATCTGGATGCAAATTTACTGTGGATGATCTAGCAATCAAAGCACTTTCTATACACTTTCACCATAGTAAATTGCATTCTCTTTTATTTAAAGCAGCTTTTTAAATTGAAATTATGGCCAGACTCGTTACAGTGAGCAACTAATGCATTGAGTGTGTTGTTTTGTAAAAGATCCCTTTCATGTTCATACAATTTTTTATTTAAATCCCTTGAGGGTTCTCCTATGTATTTCTTGCAGCAATCAATACTGACAATAGAATAAATTCCCTCTCCAATATTTAGCTTATTATTATTTTGTTTTATATTAAAGTCTCTTATTGTTTTAGAAGTATTTGTAACAAATTCTGTTAAGCTTAGATAAATTATTTTCCATTGTATTTGTGATAGAGTTGGTATGTACAGTAACATGTTCATTTGTTGAACTGGTTCATTCTTTTATTTTGAAATATTTTATGTGCCTTCTGTTTTGCAATGAGCATGAAATAATTTACTTATTGGAAGAGATTAAAAGTATTTTCAATGTATTTCTCCTCATCATGTAAATATTGAGGGCTACATGAGCTTGTAGATAAGCTAAACAGAGTTAAATTTATGATAGAATTTACTTAGGAAACAGAATCAAACAACACATTACCTTTCTTCGATATCATGTTAAACTGTACAGATCATGACTTAAAACTAAGTAGCTATCATAAATCTACTAATGAAAATGACCTCATAAATTTCTATTCTCACCATAAGAAAATAAAACTTAGAATAATTATCTGATTCTATTTAAGAACACTCAGAATTTGATTTTTAAAAATTTTAAATTTTAACAAAAATAAAAGCTTAAGGAATCTGAATGAAATCAACTAGACTACATGTCAAGAAATGTCTATAAAAAAAAAATTTAATATAAAGATTTCAGCATCCCAACATCTTCTGAATTTCCTATTGATGCAAAATTATAACTGATGTTTTCATTTTTATATCTATCTGTCACCTTCCTACACATTATATATGTGTCCATCAACAAAAATATTAATTTAGTCTGATGAAGCCCCTTTTAGTGGATTAATGTTTTTCCACTTGGTCATTCATATTACAAAGACAAGTTTATTGTAACTGTGATCATTGTGATGGTGTTTTTGTGAACACGCACTGTTATAATTATTTTAAAATTTTAGCTTTATCCATTGTAGCTACAATGTTTGATTTTTTTTGTAAACAAGCAACCACAATGTAAGGAAGCTAACCAAAATGCAACATGGTGTTAAGTGTTAGTCAAATGCATTTTCAAAGATTACTACTACACTCGTATTAAATTTTGTTCTGTGTTGGTTGGTTACTTTTGATATAGAGGTCCTTGAGAATTTGAATTTTTTGTTTATTATTTTCATAGAATAGTATCATCATCACAACAATCAAAGTTACATTACGTGTGTCTTTACAATTCACCCCTAAAGATGATCTCAGAGTAGATCAAAGGTACTTGGGATAACAAAAATTAAAGCACCTTCCTTGATAAATTTTAACTTAACATCAAGAAGGTAATTAGAGAACTAGAAAAGATTATTATAAAAATAGATATGTCCATATTATTCAATGAAACATGCTTGAATGAACATAGTCTAAAAGATTTCTATTTTTATATTTTATGAATATTGTATTTGTTCTAGTATTATCTTTATATTTCTTTACTTAAAAAATGTTTTCCTTTTCCAAGTAAAGCAATCCAATCAGAGAGCATAGAGTGAAAGGGATGCTATGCTGAAGTTGGCGTATGAACAATTGCAGTCAACTTTGTTATTTTGAAAGGGGATAAATCTGAATTAAGAATTTTAATCTGATATATATATATATTTGGAGCAAGACAGATTTAATGTCTAAGGTGGAAAATTAAAAAAATCCAATCTTTCTTTTACATCCGAAGTCAGAAGTGGTTAATTACAAAGATAATCATGCTTACACGAAATACAAAAAAAATTGTAAAAAATAATAACAATTTTTTTTTTTTGCCAAACAAAATTAATGGCAAGAACAAATATAAAAAAATTTGAAATTTCACAAAAAAAAAAAGTTTTAACCTGCCAAAATGATGGACATTAAATTTCCATCATTAACTGGAACAAATGTCCCAGACATTCTGTTTCTTTTCCAGAAACAGAATAGTTTTTGTTTTCATCTTCAGTCAATCCAAAGAGAAACATTTAATCTGAATCAAGTAGGTCGAATGGATTTTTGGAGACTAAATTGTTTTCACTTTCACTGTCTTGATCATCATCTTCTTTGGTCGTTGTGGTGCTATCCGATGTTTTAGATGTTGGTTTTTGGCACTTGCTTATTCCATCTTCTCCACCAATTTCTTCATCACTGCTACTTAAAGATTCTGATTCATCAGAAATAGCTTGGTTCCTGCGACAATGCTGATGCTGTATCAACCAAAGAGCTTCTGTTTCCACGTGTTTTTCCCAATAATCTAAAAGGAAGAAGAAAATCAGTTTTGCATTTCCAGTCTATTGTGAAGTAAACAAATAAACAATGGCTGCTGATTTTTTCCTCTTAAATTTATAATCTTCCACATGGAAGTAAGATGCATTATAGGAAGGTTTATATATATGTATATATATATATCTCCAGGGCTCTTTCATCCTTGGACCTATGTTGTTCCTAATTTTCATCAATGACCTTCCTGATGACATCAGTTCCCAACTTGGTCTCTATGCTGATGATGAAAACTATTTACTCCTGTCTTAATTATAAATCTGATCAATGAAATAAGATCAAATTGGCAGCTAAGCATAAAAATTACCTACACTTTGTTGTTAACTGGAGCAAGAAGTGGCTTGTTAATTTTAATGCCTCCAAAATGAAAACTGCTCTTTTTTAATCATCTTAGAGAATTTTTTTTACCTTCTATCCACATGGCAGATGCTGAATCAGTTGAATCACTTGTGAGGTCAGCTGCAATGAAAGTTACTTCACTGTTGTGCTAGAAAAATATTCTCATCAGACAACACATCTTGCACTCTGTTTATACGAGCAGTTAAAAAAAATCAAAAACAAACAATATGCATGTGCAAAATTAAAAGCAAATACCCATCACACCCTGTATATGATAAAATATAGTTTTAAGGTTTGCTATATGTATGGGTTAAACTGTTCAATATCAGAGATAGAGTGCATATAAATAAAAAAGTAAACATTGAAGTCAACATGCAGAGGTGACAATCTCTTTCAGACTATTACTACATTTTCCTGTGTTTAATTGTATATATGTGAGCACAGAGAAACACAAGAAAATGTAGTAATAACAATGAACAATAAAATGATCAATATTAAATAAAGAAAAGTTAACAAACAATACTATAAATAGCCAAAAAACTGCATTAGGATCCACAATTATTCCCACTCAATAGCCCTCAGAATAATTCCAAACACAACCATTACCACCCACCTAAACAACAGTTAGAATAATACAATAGACTACCTACAATGCATCACTGACCTATATATATAAATAGTTGTGCAAAAACACAATGCACATGGCCTGATGATTGCATTTAGCATCAAACAGCCTCTGGATGTTGACTTCAATTTTTATATATATACATAGAGAGAGAGAGACTAAAAATAACCCTGTACAATTCAGTGAAGTCACTTTGCTAAGATCCTATAGACTATTTTGAAGTTTCCTATTTGGTGGGAGACTGAGACTACTTTTTGTTGAGTATCGTTTGTGAATCCTTTCATGTGGGGGACTGTTTTTTTTGGGGGGGGGAGCTACCAGGATTACCCTGGCCCATCTTGTCTTTTTGTATTTAATACTTGATTTTTAACTTATTGTTTTGCTGAATCAATTTCTTTTTCTTAAATAATATCCATGTCCATTTCATTAACACTGTCAAAATAAAGTTTGTGACTGTTCAGTTTATTTTACACTGAATCAGTTAAGTCTAAAACAAGTTTAATCAAAGCTTTTTTTTATGAGGAAGGATGTATTGAGAATTACTTTCATTTAGTGTTGAATGACTGAAGCAACCTGCTAATCATGGAATTTGAATTGTGGCCTTTATTGAAATGAGAACAACAACAACAAGCCCAAACTGAAATTTAGCTTCATTGTTGCTACTATCAGCTGTTCATTGTAGTTTTTTTTATTCATACACTCGACAATCATATTAAAGTAACTGACTATGTTATTAATTACTTCCACCATATTTTCAAGATTTTTATGTCTGACCTGATTAGATTTTTAAGCTGTTAAAATATTTTGGGAAGAGAAATGGGTTAAATGTGAATGTATTTTCTGTCCTGTAGCTGATTGTTAAATACAAACATTACAGAAAATGGAACAAAAAAGAAAGAAAAAAAAAAAGACAACATTCAAGTGATATGCCGACCATCACCACTTGAAGTTTGCCATTGATTGAAGGAATTGCAATTAAGAAAAGTTGAGAATTACAAGACAGACCTTTAGTCTTGCTGTAGGCTGGTGGTCGGAAACAGAGACAAAGACGACCGTCCACAGCAATACGTAGCAGGTGGTTGGCTGCCCGGTACAAGTCTGGACGTGCTGTGCGAGCAGTCATGAAACCTCGCTTTTGAGCCCAGGCTGAAAGAAATCAAATTATTACAGGTAAGAGAAAAGGAGAATTAGATGAGGGATCTTGGACTAAATAGTCGAAAGTCTGGATTTTACAAGTCTAAAGAAACTAAAGTAAAATAGATTTATTGCAATTTGTAAAGCTGATAGAAAGAAAAGGAAACAATAATTTTGTATATAAAATATTTTAATAGAATCCAGTTTATAATAACATTTTCATTCTGGATTTCATCATATCTCTTCAGCCTTCAGAGGTAGGAAGATACACTTGCTGAAACATTGTGATGAAAACAACAAAGATAAGGATTCTTTTTTTTTTTTTTTAAATCGGTATCACTCCATGCAAGGCAGTAAAGCCACTAAGACACAAGGGGTTACAGGGTGTGGAAGAATTAGAAACAGAAACATTAATAATGAGTGGGAAGAGGAAAGAGTAATCAGGAGGACAGTAGATAGCAATCAACATTGCATTTAAACTTTTACAGATTAAAGTTAGCTGGAAAGAATGGAACCGGAAGGGAGTTCCACAAGTAAGGCAATAAAACCATGAAGACACAAGGGGTTACAGGGTGTGGAAGAATTAGAAACAGAAACATTAATAATGAGTGAGAAGAGAAAAGAGTAATCAGGAGGACAGTAGATAGCGATTGACATTGCATTTAAATTTTTGCAGATTAGAGTTGGCTGGAAAGCATGGAACTGGAATGGAGTACCAAAAATGAGACGTGCAAGAATAGAAACTGTTAGCATAGAACTTACGGTTACACATCTAACTAGCTCAGCAGTAAATTGGTGAAATCTCGTCACCAGTTTAGTACTGCACTTAAATTCAAAAACTCTTGGTACCATAATGGAGAGCTCATCTGAACAATTACCATGAAAGTATTTATAGACAAGTCACAGAGAGGCAACCTTATGGTGGTGAAAAGTGACTGAAACTGAGCTGCCAGATCAGGATCAATAATATTGCAGATTCTTCTTTGGATTTTATTCAAAAGCTCAAGATAAATAGCAGGGACACCAGACCATAGGTTGCAGGTTGTTTAAAAATATCAGTCAATAGCAACATTACTTTATTTCACAAATTTAGACAGAAATATACAGGTACATCAAGAAGTAGATAGCCTAATGATGAAGTCATTTAGTCATGTAATAAACTTATGTGCAATTCTTTGTTTTATCTTTAAGTATTAGAAATTATTTTTATTATCACATATATTTTCTCAGTAAAATTAATATATAAAAATAAAACCAATTTCTAATATTTGAAGATCAAATGAAGAATTACAATATAAGTTTATTACATTGGAGTAGGTTTTATTTTTACATACTAATTATACTGAGAAAATCTATGTGATAATAAAAATGATTTCCGACATAAACAATTAGAACTGCATGGCTTTCAGGTTCAAAAGTGGGAAAAAAGTACATTTATCAATAAGTCTGTAGTCTAATAACGAAAAAATCATTTATTTTACCCAACTAATATTTATTTTTCAGAATCATCTCTTATCTTGCTAATGCATTTAATTCAGTGCTTCTCGGTAATCATGGGAATCAAACATGCTAACTCATAAATGGATTCTTCTTCTATGCATCATGTCCTTTCAAGACATGGGTGGTCTTGGATCTCCACAACCTCATCCTTTGTAGCCTTAGTAAAGTTTATCTTTTCACTATCCCTCCTAATACCTGTTCTGCTCCCCACAATTTACACAAGTTCGTTAAATAGGTTATGTGTCACTTTCCTGTCCTCCTTGCCTTCAATATGCCCCCATCAGTGTCAAATTTCCCAACCCCTCATTATGTGCTCCAGAAATTTCAACTCTCTCTCTCTCTCCCTCTCTCTGATGTATAAGTGTCCTTTTTGTTTCCATTTTCTCTAAAACTTTACTGTTGCTCATTTCTACAAGTCTATGGTATTCTCAACATCCTGCTGTAGTACCACATTTATATTACCTCAAGTCTCTTCTTCATTTGTGAGGAGATTGTCCAGCATTCATTATCATATATAGGAGGACCAATATTAGATAACAGTAGAGTACTCTTTTTTTTCTTTCAAAAGAAGTTTTCTTGTTTTTTAATACTTTGCTTAGCTTTTGGAAGGCATCTTTCACTATCCCAATGCACCTTCAGATTCCAGTATCAAACTTTACATCTTCTGTTAAAACATTTCCTAGATAATTAAATTTTTGCACTTGTTAATTTTGGCATCTCTAATTTGTAATTTGCATATTATGCTGTCCCTTTTGCTGACAACCATACATTCTATCATCTTCCAATTGATGTTTAGTCCTTTCTTCTTGCTTTCTTTTACTACCTCCTGTAGGCATTCCAACAGTCTCCTTTCTATACCTGCTATCAATACTCTTTCATCTACATGCCAATAATGGATCCTAATTCTCTCAGGATTGTTTCACTCTAAAGGTTGAATAAGTCTGGTGAAAAGGTATATCCTTGTCTTATGCCCTTTTCTATTTTTGTGTATTTACTGAATTCATTTTCTATCCCCATACAGACGGTTTGCTCCCAGTATAAGTTCTGTATTATATCTTTTCCAAATAAATCAAAGTTACATAGCAGTTCGAGCAGTTCCTTGTGATGTACCTTGTCAAACACTTTACTACTTTACAATCTGAAATGATATTTAACAAAATTCTTGGAAATAAAATTGAAGCTTAAGAGTTTCAGAGCCAAACATTCAGGATACTTGATACTGACCAACATCAGGTTTTTGTATTGACCACTCAGAATTAATGTTTTTGATGTAATTCTTTTTTCAACAAAAGAAACGTTTCCACTGATGCCAGCTATCACACAAAACCTATTTAATAAAATATCTAGATGTGTTTAACAGTAAAAATGTTTATAAGGATTTAACTTTTTAAAAATTACATTTTTCAGATTGGTGATAGTTTGGAAAAAAAAAAAACAATCACTTTTCAGAATTTCAGAGAGAAAAAGAATTCATCTTTACAGACATACCCAAAATAACAATATGAATTGTTCTTGTGGAAATAGTCTGTCCATTCTGTTTTAATCTTTAAAATGATGAACAAAATTATTTAATAATTTTATTGCACGTGAGCAGACAAATTATCAGAAATGAGAAGAGTAGACTTGTTTTGCACCATTTCTTTTCAATCATTAGAAGAATGGACGATGATGTTTTATCAATTCATAGCCTTCTATTAGGTTGGGACAAAAGTTTGTAGCAATATTTATTCTGCAAATGAAACAGAAATGTGGCAAAAGTTTGTAGCATTTACAAAGACATTTTTACACATCACTTTATTTCACATGTGACTGAAATTTACCATATATCTACATACTCTGCATACGAGGTCTGATCAAAAAGTACCAGGACTGGTGCTTTAAAATGAAAACTACACGACATATCAATTCTGCATTTAATCTCCTTTGAAGTAGTTCCCTTCACACTTCATCCAGCATCAGTTTCATTGATGGAAGCATTGCTGGAACTCCTTTTATGGGACAGCGAGCAGCTGCCTCGTTACATTCCCTTGGATTTCCTCAATATCTTGAAATCTTGTTTCTTCCAAGTTGGATTTGATTTTTGAAAAAAGGAAAAAGTCACAAGAGGTGAGATCCGGGGAACATGATGGTGTTGTCAGAACTGGGGAATGTTATGTTTGGCCAAAAACTGCTGCACAATCTGCTCTGAACGGGCAGGTGCATTGTCATGGTGGAGTTGCCACTCACCAGACACATGCAATTCTGTCTTTTTCTGACAAACAGCATCCTGCAAAAGATTCAAAACATCACAGTAGTACTCCTTGTTTACTGTTTGACCAGGTGAAGTGTATTCATGATGAACAAAGCCTTTGTAGTCAAAGAAAATTGTCAACAGTGTTTTCACATTTGTGCTTTCTTCAGTCTTGGAGAGGTTAAAGTTTTCTATTGTGAAGACTAAGCCTTGATTTTAAGGTCATAGCCACAGACCCACAATTTATAATCTGTTATGACTGTTTTTGTCTTGCTCGACACACTCAAGGAGATCCTGTGCAGCTGAAACCTGATTTTCTTTTTGGTTACCTCAAAGCAGCCACTTATCTCATTCCAAAATATTCAGTAAGAATGAACGGAATTGGACTGTAATTAATATTTACATCCTCTAAAAACTTATGCACAGATAGTAATTTCATGGTCTTTCCAAACGGCTGCATGCACATCTGTTTTCATCCATACCCACTGGTTGCTGGTCTTCAAGAATGTGTGTCACTGTCAATATTTTGTCAGTCATCATGGAAATGTTTGAACCACTCGTACACTTGTGTCTGACTTATATACTCATTTCCATACACTTTCTGCAACTTTACATAGGTTTCTGCAGAGGTATTACCAAGATTTTGGCAAAATCTGATGCTGATTCTCTGTCCACTTTTCTCTGCCATAGTCACTGATGGAACCTTTGCAGTGTGCAGTGACAATCACACTCTACACACTCTCCTTCTAATCACTGCTATAAACAAAGAAAGTGAACAAGAACATTATAACTGTGCATGCTTGACAAAGTTCAATATTGATCTGCACACTTTAGTTTCATTACTATAACAACAGTTCAGATACGTTTTCATCAGACTACGTATGTGACATTTCAGTCTGTCTTTCTATATGATTTGAATGTGGATTTGCAATTTTAAATGTCTTCATGTTAAAAATGAAAATGGAAGAAAATGAGATGCATTTTTTAACCATTTGATGATCTTTTATTTCCAGAAACAACAAAAAAAATGATGTACAAACAACAAAAAAGATATGTGCCATTTATAGAGATGGTGCCATAGCTAAAAGTACTGTTCAGAATTGGTTTGTTATGTTCAGAAGTGGAAATCTGGAAAACTAAGAAAATGTTATGGAGGGTCGATAGTTCATTAAAAATAATACAGATCACATGAAACTGGACATCACAGAGTTATTCCAGGGATAGAAAGTTGTAAAGTATTTGAAAACATGTGGATATGTGATGCTCTAACTGAAAAAAAAAATTAATAGATCAAAAATTTAATATCGATGTGGCATTCTCTGCAATAAATAAGAACTCATTTTTAAAAGGAACAATCACAAGTGATGAAAAAGGGATTGTTTATAATAATATGGTGTCACAAAGGTATTGAGAAAAATTAAATGAGCCACTGTTATTCAATACAAAACAAATCTGCATCCGAAGATGATCCTGTCTATTTGAAGAGAGTATCATGTATTACAAGCTATTGCTGCAAAATCAGATCTTGAATTCAGGCAAGTACTGTTCCCAAATGGACAGCAATCAATGAAAATTGTCTGGTATTAGTCAATCAGAAGTGTGTTGTCTTTCATCAGGAGAATGCCAGAACTCATGTCTCTTTGCAGACCTGGCAAAAATTAATACAGCTTGGCTAGGCTGTGTACTTTCAGATTAGCACTCATTTCAATCGCTACAAAATTCTCTTAATAGAAAGAACTTCAATTCTCTGGACGCCTGTAAAACCACTTAAGCAAATTCATCACCGAGAAAGATGCCAAGTTCTGGGAGGATGGAATCATGCAGCTGCCTCAAAGATGACAAAATATAGTAGAAAAAAATGGCACATATGCAATTAAATAAATATGTACAAATATCCAAATATTGTCTTTGAAACTTACTTAAAAAAAATCAATACTGATCAATCAGCTTTGTTCTGATCCAATAAATATAGTAAATATATAAGACAATTTGAAAAACTTCTATTTCAACGTTTTGCCAATGATTCAGCTTTATCAGAGAGAATTTTATGTCAACATGAGTATGATAAAGTGTGATTTATGTTTAGTGGTGAAAGACACTTTTATTTTTACTTTAACGGTAACATTTTAGGAGAATGAAATCATGAAACTCAAAGACAGTAAAAGATAATAAAGCAAAATGGCACATATATGAATGAATAAATCCATGTACAAATACCTAAGTATTCACCATAAATTTTATTTAAAAACACTATTGCATTGATTATGTAGTTGACAATTTGGGTGGAGAAACTAATTTGGACTTAGAATAATTGTATAATCTCTAAATGATCACAGATAGAGAAATACAACATTGGATGTGATAGCAAAGAGACTGTGAATTTTAAAGGAGCCAAAAATCTAACTGCAAAGATGAGACACCAAACTCAACCTAAATTTAAAGAACACAGAAAAGAAACAACAAAATCAGGCATAGCAGAACATGTTTATAAGAAAAATAGATTTTAGGTGGAGCTCAAAACAAAATAGAAAATCACACTAGAAAATAGTATAAATAGTAAAATAAAAATAAGCAAAAGTTGTTCAAAAAGAAATTACATGAGTCATCCAAGTGTAAAATTGAACTCTATATTTTGGCCATTAAGGCCTACCATATATATGTGTGTGTGTGTGTGTGTGTGTGTGAAAAAAATCATAGCATATGTTATAAATGGTCACATATTTCTTGTTTCCATTCCAGAAAGAGATATTTTTTTTTTTTTTGTCATTACAAAACTTTCTTTTAGAATTGTGAATTGAAAAACACACACACCAATGGCAACACAAGAAACTTACACCTGAGGATTACCAGAAAACATGCTAGTTGAATCATTGTGATTGAAACAACAAAGATGAGGTGACTCGTCCTAACAGTCTATGGAATAATGTTAATAATTAATAAGTCAAAGTTAATTACCATCACATATGTCGAAAGCTGACCATCCACCCTGATATGGTCGATTATGGTCGACTGCTGGATGTTGTAGTTTGAGAAGTTTAACCAAATTGATTCGTTGAGCCAAATACATAAGTGGACTATAGGGTTCCCTCACCTGAGCTATTGGATAGATGCCACACAAAATCTGAAAAACACAAAATCACATAACAATGGAATTTTACAGAATATTGTGGACTCAAATTTTAAGCAAATGTAATTAGGGAAAAAATAGGAGAACCTTTTTATTATAGAATTGAAGATTTAAATAATAACATTACTCTCAATGATTAAACATTTTTTTGGGTCTTATAGCAAGTGCATAAAAAGGTATATTGAAGAACATTCAGATAAATAAATAAAAGTAAGTATGATTCATATATATTTTAATTTTGTTCTGGTTTCCATCAAGAGAATGAACACACTCTCACCCCTTTCTCTCCACACACTCATGCATATATATATATATCTATTTAGGCAGCAATCCTTCTTTCATGCACATTTCATTGAATACAACAGTTGATATTAGTAAGTGTTGTTTTTTTTTTATTAATAAGGCTTCCATTATTTTTAGCCTTTTTTTGCATGTAGATAATGCTATTATATGTGCTGTTAACAAATATATTACAAATAGAGTTTGGGTTGATAATAATATCAACTATGGACATGGACAAGATATCTTGACCGTGATTTGAAAATAAAAACAATATATAAATACATACATACAACAATCTATTTCTTGTTAACAGTTAATATATTTCAACCTTGAAAATGGCTAAATGTATATCTGAAAGTGCTTGGAAAGAAAGAACAATTGGACAGTTTTTATATAATTTATTATCTGAAAAGAAAAAAAATTATTAGATTGTATGAGGAATTGTATAAAAAATTAAATCAAAGCACCTTGTCTGTCGTATTCAATGAAATGTGAACACACACACACACATTATATATATATATATATATATATATATATATATAAAAGCAAAAGGAAAACTTAGCTGATGCTTTTCATCCTCTGATGGACTTCATCAAGGCAAATGTAAAGATTTTATTTTACAACAAGTATTTACAAACAGAAGTAAAAATGTCATTAGTTTTTAAAATTTTTTAAATTTAAGAACATTTATAAATATACATCAGGCTAACTACAAATTCTAGGTAAATTATGGAGGACGCTAAGTGACATAATTTAATGTCTAATAAATAAAAGTGAGTAAATCTTGTTGAATTTCTTTTCTTGCAATGTAATATTTATATTATTATTATATATTTTAAATAATAGGTTATGAATTTAACCATTTTCTTTTAATTTTCTAACATTTTTATAGTCATATATGTTGGGTTCTATTCTTACCACTGTAGCAGGAATAATTATAGGATTCTATTTAAGAGAACTAAAAAAATCTGCAGGCCACAATACTTACCTAAAGAAGAAATATACATAGAAAACACTTTCAATAAGCTCCAATATCCTTATTATTCCATCCACAATGCTAAGAGAAAAGCATACAAAATATACAACTCCCAAAAAGATAATAACATTATTAACAACAACAATGATGATAAACTAGATAAAAAAAAACAGACACATAATACAACCTACTAACTCCTTAACATCTATACAAAAGAAATCATCCAACCATAATAATATTAAAACAATTACAACTGCATCCAAAATTATTATGGATATAATCAAAACCAAAAATATCCATAACAATAATAATTCTGAAGTTGAGATATATATATATATATATATATATATATATATATATATAAGCAGTCACAACTGTTCCTTACAATATATTGGGGAAACTTGCTGAAATTAAAAAAAATGTATCTATAAACACAAGAAAGATCTTATATACAACAATTTAACAAATGCATTAGTCATACATAGAAAAATTTGATCTAAAGAATTCCAAACTTAGAAGAGAAAGTAACTTACTAGGATGGAAAATTCTTGAGAGTGCTGCTATTAAATCTTAGCAAAATATAAATCTGCACTCCAGATTTTTTCAAATAGCTCCTTTCCTCAAAGTATTACTCTTTTTCCAAGTCAACATACATCACCATGAATTTTCCTAACTTAAAAAATGGTTAAATTCAAAACCTTCCATTATTTAAAATATATAATATATAATACATAAATTAATCTCTATAATAATATAAATAATAATTACAGTATAAAAACAAATTCAACAACATTAACATTTACTCACTTTCATTTATTAGACATTAAATTACATCCCTTAGCATCTTCCATAGTTTATGTTGATTTTCTGTTAACCTGAAATATATTTATGAGTGTTCTTAATTTTAAAAATTTTGAAAAACTAACTTATTTTTCTTACTGTAAAATAAAATCCGTACATTTGATAATGTCCATCAGAGGACAAAATCCATTGATTAAGATAAATTTTCCTTTTGTCTTTATTCATGTGTGTGTGTATGTATTAGCAGCAATAATTTCTTTTTTTTTTATTTAATTAAATCTTAATGAAAGTCACAACAAGGTCTGTTTTAACAATATTTTTAAAATTCATTTTTTTTTGTTTCATTTGTATGAAAAACTTGTATGTTCATAGCATTTTCAACAATCAATTCGGATATGGTTTTAAAATTCAAGAAAAATTTGATGCATCTATTTTCTCGTTATGTTTGATGTTTTGCCCATATTAATGACTAAGTCATCTGCAGGCTGCTTAGAATACATGTACAGCTGCTTGGGGACTACAGATTGAGTTTGCATGCTTATCAATTATTGAATATATTCAATGCACCAATTGATAGGCTGAAAGCAATTTAATGTCAAGATGTTTGTTATTAACATTATTATTATTATTATTATGGCTTCAGGTATTCAGTTTTTATTTTTTACAGTTTAACTTGTATATTATTTTTCTCTCATTTAATATGGAACTCTTGCTGCTATATAAGCTTTCATGATAACGTTGTATGTGTGTGTCTCTCTCATATATATATATAAACACTTTTTTTTTACTTTTAAAGTAAAAATAAAAATGAGGCATCTATTCCAAATATGAGTATAATACCAGGTGTGTGTGTGTGTGTGTGGTTTGGTTTGTTTTATGGCATATCAACCTCAATGGTTTATTTAATGCTGACAAGACTTTTACTGCTGGTAATATTTTTTCAAAAAATGTATTGCTGATAATACTTTTTTCTTCAAAAGTGAATTGCTGGTAATATTTGTTTTTCTTCAAAACTGTATTGCTGGTAATAATTTCACCTCAAAAAATTTATTGCTGGTATTAAAACCTATTTTTTCACTTTCATAGTGTTTTGACCTCAGTTTGGGGGTTAACTATTTGACCATAGTTGGGACCCTAACAGGTGCTATTACCCTGAGTCAGAGTAGACCTGGGAACACCAGCAATTAAGAGGTGGTTCCATGTTCCTCAAAACCTCTTGATCAGAGGCCTTGCAGTTGGATATAGTTTACCATCTTACCCAGAATGGGGGAGGGTGTATGTGTGTGTGTGTGAGTGAATATTATATATATATATATATATATATATATATATATATATATATATATATATATATATATATATACACACACACACATAATGAATTTCATTTGATGGTATTTATAAACTCATTTAGCATGACTAAAGCAGTTTAATATATGAATATATTATGAGAATCAAATTATAATTTTGCTTCTTTGTAAATTAATTAGCTCATATGTTACGCCCTGTTAATACCTCATAAATAATAGACTATTCCACTATGACATTTTGATTGCAAAGAAAGATGGAAAAGACATAAGAGATACTCTTTGGTTTCAGGAAGAAAAAGAAAATAGAGGAGATGATACAACTCAAGATGTTTTTAATTTTTTAAATTGACAAATTTTTTCCATTCTACTGAAACTACTATTTCAGTAGAATGGAAAAAATTTGTCAATTTAAAAAATTTTTTTATTTGTACCCTCTTACTTCTTTAAATAATGACCTGCATTCATATTCATGTTTGTCATTGCAATGTTTGGTTAAAGTTGTTAAGCTTAAATATTCAATGATTCAAGAGGGAAATTTCCATGGGTGTTTTATAGTCATAGAACTTGTAACAAACTTATTCAATCGTTAATGTAAGAATTATGATTTATCGGAAAATTCAAATAGCAAAACTATAACATTTTCACAAGTACTACTAGTTAATATTATTATTTTATTTCATAATTATCAATACATTCTTATAATGTCATTTTGTATTGACTCTCCTTCACCTTAATTCATATTTAATTGAGGTTCTTATGGCACCAAATCTCTGCTAATAGACATTTTCTCTACTTTTCAGATAAGACATCTGAATTTCTTGACTGGCATTTTCAACTCTTCTTCTGTGCAATTTCATTCCAAATCATTCAGATTTGATGACTTCTCTTTATAAACAGCAATTTTCAAGACATACAAAAATATTCAATTGGATTTTAGCTCAAGTGATTGAGAATAGTAATAGTAATATTGATCATTTCCTTACACAGAAATATTTGACATTCATTGACTGAGCAACTAGTAATACTTTCAGTTGAAATTTATAAAATCTTTCTTGTCAAACAATTTTTCAGGAAAATAGATTTCTCAAGTCCACTAAATGCTCCCTTTCCAGTATTAATCGGGGTTTCCTGCCTAACTTTTTGTTTGAAGTTGTGTGGAACATCAACATCTTGATTTTGTCATTTTTTTCTCAAGTTACATGTGCTATCCATTTTAGCTGTTGCTGCTGTCGGTAGTCCTCAAGTGATGTGGTTTCTGTTATTTGGTACAATTCTTTCTTTGTGATTCTGTAGTGCCAGTCTACAGGGTTTGAAGAAATGTGGTCTTTACCAAGACCCATAGGCTTCAAATACTCTAATCCATTTTTAAGCATCAATCTGAGAAAGCAATTGTCAACATTTTTCATATTTCTGAACAGGTTTCGTGCCTTGCATGACATCCATATGAAAGTCGTGATCAAAAGAATTTAAGAACATGATTTCAATTTTCAGGTTAATTGTTTGGTTTCAAATCAATTTGCAGTGTTTCAAAAAACTATGTTCAATTTCTTTGTCTTTTATGCTAAATTTATTATAACTGATCCATACTGAGTGCTGCCTAACCCAGTCAGTGGGAAACTCACAGCATCATAATCAAAGCTCCAGATCTTGCTTCCTACCTCCTTTTCTATATATATTTTCATGGTAATTGTTCAGAAAACTCTTCACTATGGTATCTACACTTTATGAATTTAAGCACAGTACTAGATTGGCAGCAGGTTCTCATCAATTTACAGTTGGATTGGATAGATGTAACTGTAAGTTCTATGCTAACAGTTTCTTCTCTCGCACTTCTCACTTGTGGAAATCTCTTCCAGCTCCATGCTTGCCAGTCAAATTTGATCTTCAAAAAATTAAATGCAATGTCAATCGTTGTCTTCAGTCTTCTTGTTTACGCTTCTATTTTTCTCACTCCTTAATAATGTTTCTATTTTTTTCTTATTCTTTCACACTCAGTAACAACTTGCATCTTAGTGGTTCTACTGCACTTTGATTAAAAAACAAAACAATTGTATTCCAGCAATCGTTTGGCTGCATAACATAACCACCCCTTTTTTCTTTTCCAAAATACATAGTAATATGTATTTTAAATTACTATCATGGGTAACTCCTAGTTTGTCTATCTCTCTCTCACTATGCCTCCAGAACCATAATGTTACAGAATGTAAAGGCTGGACCGGAATGGTGAACAATTGGTCAGAATTCCATGCCCTTGTGGTATTCTAACCATTCATTTGCCATCCTGGCCCAGCCTCTGCATTCTGTAACAACTGATAACACAAAGAACTTTTTAGTAAATTTTAAATAAGGCTGTTTATGCATTTTCTTCAGTAATGACTTTTCTGGTGTAAACCATCCTTGAAATCCTTGGCAGTTTAAAGTTCTACAAAATTGAGGAAAGGTCTATATCCGTTCTGATGTTCTTTCAATTTGTTTAGATATCCTTTATTTCATGTTAACTTCCTTGTTTCATTTTAATTCTGTTTGATTTTAAATTTGGTTTATAAAAGTAAATGTTTCAGTTGAAAAATAAATGTACATAAACTTTCTAAAATGATATTCTGCATGACAACACATGTTTAAGAATGGCTCAATTTTAGGCATTTTTATGATCTAATCTAATGCCAAATTTATTTCTTCAATAGAGATTGAATATTTATGCAAAAGTTATTATTGTTAATTGTAGAAATAAAATGAGATTATTCTTTCTTATTTCTTACCAATTTGCATATTAAACTGTTTTACAAATAACCAAATTCAGAATGGTTAAAACAGAAGATTGATTTGTTTTTTGTTTTTTACAGCTTATCAAGCAGGTAATTTAAAGCCAGAAAATATATTTTTAGATTGTAAGAATTTTTTTGATATTTTAATGATACAAGTTCTACTAATTAACCCATGGCTGGAGGAGAAGAGGTGGATTCATACAATTCTCAATGGTAATTACACATAAGCGAATACAACACAACAGGAATTGGAACTTGGCTCTCCAATTTCCAATTCCGGGCCATTATTCATTAAACCACCTTCACATCCAAGCTTGCAACAACTGGTATTCCCAAGTGGTCACCCATCTAAGTACTGACCTGGCTCGATGTTGCTTAACTTTGATGATCGTATGAGAACTGGTCTTTCAACATGATATGGCTGTAAGATGGTTAATAAAAAATTAAAAAACGAAAAGGAAAATAATCTCAAAAACAAATATGTGTGTGTGTGTGTGTGTGTGTGTGTGTGTGTGTGTGTGTGTGTGTGTGTGTATACATTCTTACCTGTAGTTGCTTTAGCACTTTAGATGGGAAGACAAGTCCTGGACAATCACATAGTTTCACAGTAGGTGTAAGGAATATGGTTTGGAAATGTTTGGTGTGACCTGGAGTTCGAGACACACTGACAACCTTCAAAGAAAAATAAAAAAATCAATTTCCTTCTCTCAAATTATACGAAAGTAACCCTGAAGAAAAGACCTGTATGAGAGGGTGCTGAAAAGTTCTCAGACGAAAATCTGATTAAATGACCAAACATTGGACATAAACAATATTTGATTAACACAAAATACACTTGATCTTCTCTGTAATTGGATGCATATTCACATTGCAACCAAAACATTCTGAGAAAAATGTAAATAAACACTGAACTAGAAGCAAATACAGTTTGTTTTGTTTTTTTGTTAATGAAATATTTATGCTATTTTAGTCTATTTTCCTCCTTTCTATACAGATCTGAACAAACAGAGATAGAGAGATATTTCTTGTTTGTCTTCACTGTTTACAACCAACATATCAGTGATCTTTCTCATAAGAGCTTTGGTAGCCTAGGTGGTCAAGGAATCATTCATGAATGATGAGCTTCTAATTTATACAATATGAATTCATTTTTTATCTGAAGTTACTTTTTTTTTTAAATTTCAAATTTCTTAAAAGAAAGGTTTGGCAAAAAATTTCACTCAGTTTCAAATATGTAAGATGGAATTTATAGTACAAAAACTCCTACAAAAGGTATAGAAAGGAAGTAAGAAGAAAAGACTAAACATTAATTGCAAGATGACAGAATGTATGGTTGTCAGCAAAAGGAAGAGCCCAACATTCAAATTACAAATTGGAGATATCAAAATCAAACAAGCATAAAAATTTAAATATGTGGGCAGTGCTTTAACAGGATGGAAAGTGCAACACTGAAATCCAAAGGGACATTAGTATAGCCAAAAGTATGCATTCCCAAAGCTAAGCAAAGTATTAAGAAACAGAAAAAAATCATTAGAAACAAAGTAAAGAGTATTGAACTATTAAGTGATATCAGCTGTCCTATATAAGAACAGAAATGTAGTTCTACAGCAGGATGCTGAACATACTATGGACTGGACATGTGACCAACAACAAAGTTTTAGAGAAAATGGAAATAAAGTGAAAATTTATATTTAACATCAAGGAGAGAGAGCTGAAATTTCTAAGGCACATAATTAGGAAAGAGGGCTTGGAGAATCTGATACTCACAGGACAGATTGAAGGCAAAGGGACAGAGGAAAACAAAACAGAGAGTTTGAAGAAATGAATGATGGAATAGGATTTAGGAGAAATAAAAAAAGACAAAATTTATTAAGAGCAACAAAAGACAGGAAATTGTGGAGAGCTATGATTACCTATGTCTTAAAGAGACATGGCACATACAAGTAGAAGATGGAATTTGTGACAACCAGTCAGATGTTTAAATTTTTTTTTTATTGTATTGTCAACATTTCACTCTGTAAGAGCATTGTCAGCACAACTCAAAAAAGCTAAAAAAAATGTAATCATTGCTACTTAGAAATGCTGTGATTAGTTTAAAAAAAAATTAATAGTTAATAAAATTAAAAAATAAATATCTTTGAGCAAATCATTGAGATTTGTACATAGAAAAAAATAAAATGTAAATATTGTGATTTGATTTATGTAAATATGGTGATTTGATTTATGTAAATATGGTGATAGGAAAATAAAAAAAAATTGTGGCAAAGTTATGTATATCCAATGAAAATAGTAAATACAATTCACTATCTGTCTATATTTCTGAGATGAGGTACTGTAACTATTTACATTGTTCAGACTCTTCTCCTCATCTTTATTTTCATATTCACAATGTTTCAGCCATTGTATGCTTCAGCCTTTTTCAGGTGATAGATGTTGGAATTTTGAACTTATTCAGTCCATGGTGGGTAGATTGTTCAAATCCTACACACTATGCATTTTCTGAATGTTTCAATTTCACTTAATTCCCTTTAGTTCTCAAATTTTTTATTTTTTTTGTTCACCTCTGTTGTGGCCAGGTATTGAACTCACAACTCTTTGGGTGAAGTTACTTCTGGATTACTTCAACCAAAAGGAACATTCACTATAATTTAAAATCTAATTTATGATAATAGTATGGAAGTCTCTTTTTCAGCAAAGTATTAGAGGCTCTAATCAATGCTAAATTGATTAAGCATCTTACTTCACATGACCTCATTTTGGATAAGCAATATGGCTTCCAGTTCTCCAGGTATACTTCTGATATGTTAACAGCCATTTGTCTATCAAGCTTTAGATAGGAATGGTGAAGCTCAGACTGTGGCTCTAGATATCTCAAAATTATTCAACAGGATTTGGGATGACAGGCTTTCTCCACATGTTCAAGTGGGGTATGGTGTCTTAGAACAATTATTTGGTTTAATCCAATCATTCCTAACAAATCATGTAATGAAGGTCATATTGAATGGACACACATCTAGTTTATATCATATTATAGGTGTCCTATCCTTGGATCTATGCTGTTTCTTATCTTCATCAATGACCTTCTCAATGTCATCACCTCCTAACTAGGCATCTATACAGATGACAACCATTACTTTTGTCTTAGTAGCAAGTCCAACAGATTTAACAAAGAAGTGGAAACTGTTCTTGAAAAGGGCACCGAATCAGTAGTTAACTGGGACAAGGAATGTCTTGTAAATTTGAATGATGCCAAAATAAAACTGCTTTCATTTAATTACCATAGAAAACCTTTTCTGTCTGCAATTGGCATGGCTGATGCTAAACTCCAGGAGAGTAACACTTTGCACATTTTTGTATTCATGCTTTTCACTGACATGAAGTGGAGTGATTATATTGAATTAATTACTAGATGAACTGCTTGGAAAGTTGGTTCATTGTGTCATGTTAGACAATTCTTCTCATCAGAATTAATCTTGCACATTTATAAATCTACTCTAGTCATTTGTGCATTGAATATTGCTGCTGTCATATCAGGCCTGCTGCTCCTAATACTTATCTTGAAATTCTTGACAAAATTCAAAGAAGTGTCCATGATATAATTAATCCTGACTCGTGACTTTCCTATTTCTACAAATATTTTCATGGCAATTGTTATGATGAGCTGTTTTAATGCTTTGTCTGCATGAATTTAAGTAGACTGTTAAATTTGCAACTGGCTTTCTCACCAATTTATTGTTGGACTATCTAGATGCATCCATCATTTCGATTCTAATAGGTTCTTTTCTTGCACTTCTGCCACCTATAATCTTCAAAAATTTAAATGCACTGCCAATTGCCATTTTCTATCTTCATGAATCCTGTTCTTTTATTGTCCTTTTCCTCACTTCTCTTTACTAAAGTCTTTTTATTCTCTTTCACTCCCTGTTACCCTATTGCTTGGAGAAAATGATTAAATATATATATATATATATATATATATATACATACACACACACACACACCATCATCATCATCATTTCCTATACTTGATAAATTCTCTGAAACAGCGAAAGCATTTGAACTCACTGTCAACATAAAGAAGACTGAGCTAATGTATCATCCAGTACCAGGCAATCCATCTCTCACAAATCCTTTTGTCTTCATTGATGGTACCGCATTAAAAACTGTTGAGGCATTCACATATCTTGGATCAACACTTTTCTGAGGGAAAAAATTGACAGAGAAATCCAATACAGAATATCCAAAGCCAGCAAAGCATTCGGTAAACTTAAACTTAGGTTATGAAACACCAAAGACGTGTCTCTCAGAGTAAAGATCGCCATAGACAGATCAGTCATTCTCTCAACCCTTCTCTATGGTGATGAAACTTGAACCCTGTACCACAAACACACAAATCAACTTGACGCCTTTCACATGTGCTGTCTTCATGCCATATGTGATATAAAATGGGACGACAGGGTCAGGAATAATGCAATACTGAAGAAATGTAACATCATCACAAGCATTGAAAACCATTCTAGCAAAGATACAACTGAGGTGGGCTGGTCATGTTGTGAGAATGGATGAGCATAGGCTTCCAAAAAAGGTGCTGTATAGAAAACTACTAAACTCCG